AGAGTATTAAACAAATATTAAAACTGTAGTGTCTGAAAGTATTAAACAAATATTAAAACTGTAGTGTCTGAAGGTATTAAACAAATATTAAAACTGTAGTGTCTGAAGGTATTAAACAAATATTAAAACAGTAGTGTCTGAAGGTATTAAACAAATATTAAAACTGAAGTGTCTGAAGGTATTAAACAAAATGTTAAAACTGTGAAGTTTCATTGCTTCGAACGAAATCTGATGAAAGTCTTCTGGCGGCGCATACACAATATTAACTTTTGGAATTGCGAGAAATATAACTTGTAAATATTCGCTCTAACTGTTATACTTTATTTTTTCTGAAGGATTAGGAACTCTTCTACTTAGACATATGAAAAACATATGCTAAGAGATACGTACCACTTTTAGAATTGTAAGCCGTTCTATCAACAAAAACATTAAAAACTCATCACGAAATTCTGCATTGCTAAGTATTCTACTATAGGCCTGATATCACATATAGATACTAAGAATTGTTATTGTTTTACTTTTAAGGTGTATTGGGTAGGACCAATGCTTGGTGGCATTATTGGAGGGTTTACATACGAATACAACCAAGACACATCTCGAACCACTCAGCAACTGAAGCGTTCCTTCCGCCGGAAGTCGGCTAGAGAGATGATGCACGATCACAGCGCCCTCAGTAACAACGAAACAGAATTCACGGCAATATCGAACGATTGTCGAGCATGAGTAATGACGTCACGTGGATGATCTTAGTAGAAGATGTCTCAGCTGTATTTAAGAGAATAAATTCGTGAACCCTTTAACAATAAGCTGGCAAGAGGTGTAAAATGGTCTTTCTAAGTTGCAAAACGATATAAAATGATTTAGGAAAGTTTATTTTAATTATGCTTGTTTGGCAAGTGAAGACATAAATAGATTTAAATATTAAAGTTTTGAAAGAATTTCAGAAATGTATAAAAAGTAACCAACATATTTAATTAACAATAGGATATGATCTGATTTCTTGTTACAAAACGAAAATTATTAAAAACTTATAAAAGTTATGTCCACCAAAATTATGAGGACAAAGGCAACGAAAAACAAACAACCAAATATTGTAATATTATTGCTATGATTTTCTCTAGCTAATGTTTTTAAAAGCCAGAACATTTGCATAGCTATAATTATTTGGTTGGTATGATGATTGTAAATTTTATTCTACATATTTTGACAGACTTATGGAAAAATAAGGCTGTGTGAGAATCCATCAGACAGACATGTAAAACCAATAACACATTATCTTACATCTTCTCGTAGCAACACGATACACTCCTTCCTGACGACAGAATGTATCTTATAAATAATGGATAACGTTGCCGACATGAACAGACTTTGTAGTTTGCAAATGATATTATGGATATATATATATATATATATATATATGTGTGTATAAAACTAATTATGAGGCGTATAATAATAATATTTGTTCTCCCGACTAACTTCTAATTTAATTTTTTACTTTTCAAGTAGTCATCAATTATCATTAAAAGCGCACGTGACAAGGGAGCCCGCCTTCTGTGTAATGTACGAAGTCACAATAAATTCACTCTTCTTAAAATTATTCCGAACTCTTTAATTTATTATTATTATTGTGATTAAATATAAAGTGTAGTTGCCCCCCAGTGGCACAGCGGTATGTCTGCGGACTTCCAACGCTAGAAACCGGGTTTCGATACTCGTGGTGGGCAGAGCACAGATAGCTCTTGTGTAGCTTTGTGCATAATTAAAAACAAATAAAGTGTAGTTATTCGATTTTACCCTTTTCTAGCATTCTTTATGGATGCATCCTAGGTCATAAAAAAACAACTCAAACGACCTAGCATCCAGTTAAAAGTGTTTGTTTATGGTAGTTTTATTAGGATAGCATTATTTTCTTTAATAATGTTATATATACATATTTCTAACTATAACCTATCTTCGCTCTAACTCAATGACCTTCCTACGTAACTGGTGTTAACTTTGTTTAAAACATTTGGGAAAAGCTGTTTGTTAAAAGCTATTTGATTTCGCTTAAGGTTGACTACCTTTCATTATATTTGTAACTTTTATATTTATTAAAGCTTTCTTGAAAATCAGACTGTTTTTGTATATATATGTATACGCACACAAACATTAATATGGTCGTCAGCCTGTCGAATGTCACATCACAAGTTAGTAGTTTTGGGTGCTCAGATAGCATCGGAAGTTTCGCTTTAAATTCCACTTCCTCACCGATAGCGGGTTCCATCTCATTCAAATTCTACACTGTGAATTAAAATCGCTTAACAGTCAAGAATACAGAACTTACATTTTTCTGCCCAACAGCTTAAGACTTTCTCGTGATATGCGAATGGATAAAGAAATGTGAAAAAAAGTCAACATTTCAAAAGGAACATAATGATTCCTTTTTGCCATAAATGGCGTTTATGTGTATAAACTTAAACATTTCTTTTATTATAAAACGACTTACTCATTTATGATAACTGTTGGAACAAGGTTACAGAAAAATAAAGGTTTTTGTTTGCTGTAATTTGAAGAACAAGAATTCTTTGTTCACTCATCTATGACTTGCGAAGTCTTCCTAACAGAACAGAACGCAATTGTAAATCTAAATGTTGTTTTCCTACTCATTATACGATTCGAAACTTGCGTTTCGTGAGACTAGTCCGACGTGACAAATATTATTGCGTTATAAAATAGTGTATTCGAACTTTTATCCGACACCGAGCCTTACTTGACTCCAGTAAATTAGAGAAAATAGAAATACCACAAAAAGTTAGGAAACCTAAAGAAGCTGCCATACCTCCCATGGTAACATTTACAACAGTACCTTTAGTGGGTAAATTAAGGTGCTATCAGATTAAAAGAATTTGATATCACTAAAGGTCTTTGTTCGTCTGCAATCGTAACGTTACTCATATAAGACGATTGAATATCTTAAGAGGTAAGCCTCGTTTTAACATTAAAGTTATACAATGCTACCACTACATGTCAGACATGTAATCACATGACTTCGCGTGTAATTCTTGTAGTTAGTTTATGATAAATATATTCTGAAAGTGATGAACTGAATCAGTTATGAGTGTCATAGAGAAACATCTACAGTAATGACGTCAGTATGCACAAATGATAACAAAATCAAGACGTATTCTTGAGTTGTTAGTAGGAGTCGAAGAGACATTTTTTCAGTACGTAGCTAGTCAAATATTGTTACTTCTATACAGCTAAACGAAGTAAACAACAAACCATTAACATAAAACTACAAATCCTACTTTGATAAAACAGTTAATGATACACAAATTTAAATAACCATAGCAACAACTGAATCGGCCACTAGGTTTTAATTTTTTTCAAGTAACGAAGGGAACTACACAATAGACGGTTATATTACTAAGACAAGAAAATGTCATAAAAATTAATAACCTATCGTCGATTCAGTTGCTGCTAGTTTATCTAAAAATAAAAATTAATAACCAAGTTGTCGATTTAGTTGTTGCTATGGTTATCAAAAACAAAAATTAATAAAACCTAATCCTTACAGACCACACACACCCTATTCAAGTAATTATAACCACAAAAGAACCTAATCCTTACAGTCCACACACCCTATTCAAATAATTATAACCACAAAAGAACTTATCCTTACAGACCACACACCCTATTCAAGTAATTATGACAACAAAAGAACTTATCCTTACAGACCACACACCCTATTCAAGTAATTCTAACCACCGAATAACCTAATTTTTACAGATAACACATCCTATTCAAGTAATTATAACCAAGAAAGAACCTAATCCTCACATATCAAACACCATATTCAAGTAATCAAACTAATGTGCTTCCATTAGATAAACATTTCACTAGAAGTTATAGGTTAAGCAATGCTGGGATAGTGTTGTTTATTATCACAGAATAAAGTTATCTTTATCTAGAAGAAACCACTTTAATTTGGTTAACTTTGGTTTACTTAATCTTACTCGGCTCCAGAGTGTCGCATGAAGCAGATTAATTTAAAAACATTTTGGATTAATTATATTATTTTAAAAAAAAGAGTGAAAAACAATGTAATTCCAATAATGAGTTGATCAAGAAGTGATTACTTTAAATGATTATTTGACAAATCTTTAGATTACATTAAAAAATCGTCTCGAAAATACATGTGCTCTGCACGAGTTGGCTCCCATAATACTAGGCTTTTTCATGCCATTGCCGTTAAGTCACCAAGGTTTTAACGGAAACCAAAAGAAGGTTGAACGATCTACTGAGCTCGACCGCTTAATATTCTTTTTATACTGTTGTCATTAAACCTCATTTCACCAAACCACATATCGTGAGAATATAAATGTACTTTTCTAGTCTCTAATGGAAACAGGAACGAGACGAATATAGAGTAAGCAGAGCGATTTCTACGTAGAAAATACTAGTTTTTTTTCGATGAATCAAAGTCGTATTTGTCTCAGATTCAGTCAACTTGACCAATGACGTCTGTCAAAGACCAAAAGACAGAATTTGCTGTTTTCAGCTGGTGCTATTTACTGGTAAAATGATCTACATTGTTGTATATGAAATCTAATTGGAAGTTCTTTGTTAATGTATATTTATGAAATCTAAGTGGAAGCTTTAAGTTAATGTTTAACTATGAAATCTAAGTGAAAACGATACGTTAATGTTTATTCATGAAGTCTAATTGGAAGCTATACGTTAATGTTTATTCATGAAGTCTAATTGGAAGCTATACGTTAATGTTTATTTATAAAATACAACTGGAAGTTATACGTTAATGTTTATTTATGTAACCTAAGTGAAAGCTCCATACTAATGCTTGTTCATTGAGATGTGCTGATCATGAACAGCGATTTATAATAAGGTTTCATAAAAGACGAACGAAAATAATCCCCTAAGAATGTTAATGGCAGCTTTGTTATGATATGTAAACACATCTTAATTCCATGCTTTAAGAAGCAGGGGTAACGTGGTGTAAAAGTTAACGTGCCAGGACTATGAATCTGAGGGTTCCTAGTTTTCGTTCCGTTGTTACAAAAATCCAGTCCGCACTTTCAGGCAATGAGTGCACTATAAGAGTGGCAGTAAAAACCTACTAGATCAAACAAGAGTATATCCCAAGCGTTGGCGGTTGGTGCTGTTGACACTCTGCCTTCCCTCTATCATTTCTAAATTAGGCTATGCGCAGACATCCTCTGTGTATAGATTTCCGTGAAAATTAATATATAAACAAGTATTAAGAAGCATGCAGAAAAAAGTTATTAAAACATCGAAAATCACTATTTATCCGGTAGAGTTAGAAATTGAAAATACTGCGGAAGTTGAGGCACATTATTTAGATTTAGAAATTAAAATAATCGATAATGATATTAATCTAAATGATTTTGATGAAAGAAAATATTTTTCTTTTCCAATATACGGCTTATCCTCTGTTATAAATATTATAACATCACCATTATTCAGATTTTGTAAAATCTGTAATAAAATACTATATTTCGTTATTAATGTTGAAATATTGATGTAAAAATTAGTATTCAATGGATTTAATAAAGAAACTTTAAATAAAATTATTGAAGTATTTCGTGATAAGTATAAAATGTATTAAATAAATATAAAGAAGTAAAAAATTAAGTAGTTTTTGCTGAAAGTTTTCGATAAGTATTTTTAGTTTTTAATAAACTTGGCACTACTTTTATGCGGAT